GCAGCCGTAACTCTTAACCACTGCGGCGCTAGGGCTCCTGGTAAAGTAGAGGGTCAGTGAAAAAGAGGAAGACCTTCAATGAGATGGATTGACACAGTGGCTCCCACAATGGGCTCAAACACAGCAACGACTGTGATGATGTAGGACTGGGCAGTGTTTCATTCTGTTGTAGTGTCACTGTGAATCAGAACCGACTCAACAGCACCCAACAGCATTATTTCTGCCACATTCTGTCCGCTAAAAGTTGAGTCACCAAGTCCAGCTCACACTTAAGGGGAGAGAAATTAAGCTCCACCTCTTAAAGGGAGAAGTATCAAAGAACTTGTGGCCATGTTTTAAAACCACCACAATCAGGTAACACACAATCTTTATTAAAAAATAGGCATTAAACAAATAACTATCTTGGTCCCAATTGTGGTATGTGTTACAAGAGTACATAATGGGGGGACCTAACCTTGTCTGAGAGGATCGAGGATCAAGGATCATGTCCCTGAAAGAAACAATGACACATAACAACTGAGAGATAAGTGGGGAGTTAGGTGAAGGGAAAAAGTGAAATGTGTAAAGGGAATTAATGTGCAAAGGACCAACAGGGTGCAGAGGGAGGCGATTCATACTTCCCTGGAATTAGAACAATGTAGATGGATGGAACAGAGAAGAAAGAGGCAGGATGACATAAAGACAGGATCTCACATGCAGGCTACACTGATTATGGACTTTTTCACAATAGCAATGGAAAATTGGTGGTTATTTAAAGCAGGCTATGGTGACAATCTTTGGACATGTTATCAGGAGGGATCAGTCCCTGGAGAAGGACATCATGCTTGGTAGAGGGTCAGTGAAAAAGAGGAAGACCCTCAATGAGACGGACTGACACAGTGGCTGCAATGGGCTCAAGCGTAACAAGGTTCATGAGGATGGTGCAGGACCGGGCAGTGTTCTTGTTACGCTGTATACAGGGTCGCTATGAATCAGAAACAACTTGATGGCACCTAACAACAATAAAAAATGGTGACAATCAGATTTACTTTAGAAGAATATGGAGACTGAATTTGAATGGAGCCAGAGTGGAATAAGGGGAGACTTGGTAAGAGGCTACTGCTCTCTTCTACGTGAGAGATGGTGACTGTCGCTAGATTGGTAGGAATGAAGATGGGAGAGCAAAAGAGGTTTCCAAGCATGTTTAGGGGGTAGAACTAACCAGACTTGGTGACTGACAAGACATGGAATGTGGGAGTGAGAAGTTTCAAGGATGACCCCTGGGTTTCTGGCCTGAGCAACTGGGTGGGATAGTGGTGTGAGGAATATAGGAGAGAAAGCAGTTGGTGGGTTGTGTGGTTTACTCTGGGGCTTTGAACCAGTCCATTCCGGCTAAAACCCCTGCTGAGAATTTGCATTTCACCCCAGATACACTGAATCAGAATCGACATTTTAACAAGATCCCCAAGTGATTCTTATATATAATAAATTTTGAGAACCACTGCTCTACTAGTGGTTCTCAGAATTGGTCCCTAACTAGCAGCATTAGCATCACCTGGGAACTTGTTAGAAATGCAAATTATCACCAGGGGTTCGAACTGGAATAAACTGGCTTGAAGTCCTGGTTTATACAACAGCATTCAGATGCTCAGGTGACGGCAAAGAGAAAATTGGTGGTTGGGTTCATTCTGGCTTAGTATTTTGCTGGGTGATAATGAAAGAACAGAGGGATGAGGTAGGTCAGGCTGTTTGCAAGACAATGAGTCTATGACCAACCCATCAGTATGTCAACAGTGAAGCCAAACTAGCCATTTTCAGTGATTGAGGAGGAGGAGTGCAAGGGCCCACCACTTGTGTCTCTCTTGTGCATTTTCTCTTTTGCCACAGTGCAGGGAGTTCAGCATTATGCTAAATGCTAGATTCCAAAATGATTAAAGCGTTGGTTCCTGGCATCCAACAACTCGCCAGCTATATGGGAAGCCAATTTCTGCACCAAAAAAATCCCATAGATTTACACTGTATATTACAGCTTATCCTAAAATGTCATTCTAAGGAGCATGCAGCTTTTTCAGAGGTCTGAATTTTCATTTTGACCTCTTCAAGAAACGTGTCCGCAGTTTTCCTAGAGGAGCTGACCAGGCACTACTTGAAGCCCACAGAAGGAAGGCATTAGAGATTCGAGTAACGCTCTAGAATCTAGGGCAAGACTTTGAGGGACAATAATATTAATATGCTTGAATGGATTAAGTCACCTATAAAAGCCGCTGCCCAGCCCCTCTGCCCTTCTTCCTGTACCAAGTACACCGCAGGGCCTGAGCTGGATTCAGCCTGCAGTATGGATTTGGATTCCGGCGAGCACAGCGAGGGGCGAGCCTGTGACCACCACAGGTTGCAGGTATAGAGGGGGCTGCAGCTGCCCAACTGGGAGGGCTGGGGCTAGGGAGGAGGCTTTTGGATAACACCGATTTTCACATAATGCTCTGGTCTTCGGAATCTAACCATGTCAATAAACGAGCAGTGTGTATACTCTGTCTCTCCTATTCAAGCAGCAATTTTGAGCTACAGGGGTCATCCTGGATATTGGCCAGTCCCTGGTTCCTAACAGGTGGTCAATAAATGCCTAGATCAGAGAAATAAGATCTGACTAGCTCATGCCAAGTACGGGGGCCTGGATGTTGTCATTGAGCTGTTCATCACACTGCACTAACTAAGAGTCAGTATTAAAAAAAAATATGCACACGCATATTTAGACATACTTATTATATATATTTGTCACCAAGGCATCACCGAAAGTCACAAAAAGTAGGCTTAGTTTAGTTCACAACAATATAGGTACTGTGAAAACACACTTTTAATCTCTGCAGTTTACAATACTCTATATAGCTTTTAAAGCAATTAAACAACATTTAAGATTAAATTTGTCAAAAAATGTAATTTAATGTAGACTTCAGAAACTTTGAAATAAAAGGCCATAATGGAGAAACATTAAGAAACCTGTGGAATTACCAAACTGTCACAATACTACTTTCCATTATAAAGGCATCTTGATAAAGCAAAATAAAAACCATGGAAAATACAAAAGTCAAATTAGAGATTTGGTTTAGTACTTTCCCTGAGTCTCTTTAAAAATCAAATGCAAGTCCAGCCAGTTCTAAATCTGACCCAAAGGTCTTGCCCACCTCCATACCTCCTCCCTGGAGAATACATTTAAGACTAGAGGCCACACACTGAAATGGTCCCAGGGCTTTATTTAAATGCCAGTTTGCTTATGCCACTGCCACAGGGTTACCTGATCTACCACTATAGGTGGGCTTAAAGAGCTGTCAAGATTTTATCTTGGCCTACTATAATGTAACGCATTGAGACTATATACCAAATAAGGACAACAGATCTTCAATTCTTAATAAATATTAAAATTCTAAATGGATTAGGACACTATATACATCAAACTGTGGTAACTTAATAACATGGGAGGCAAACCCTTTCATGTTTTTAAAAATTTACACAAATGGGTGGTAGTGGGTAAGTCTTTTTAAAGTTCTAAATCTCAGATGTCACAAGGGAAAAAACCTCAAAAATAAGACATTTTCACAAGTTAAAAAATCTAATTCATTAGATCTCAAAACAAAGTTGAAAAAGTGGTTATAAGTTGATATTTGAATATGGGCATTCTAATTCCATAAAGCGAGTTGTCCCCTTGATTCTTAAACAAAATAGGCCCCTACAGTGTTTCTACTTGATCACTTAATTGCAATTATATGTATGTATACACATATATGTATATATGCTTGCAACTGATGAAGCAGTTCAGTAAAGCACATTATAATTAATCAAATTAAGGATAAAAGGTTTATTTCAAATGTACTAGGTTACTTGCTGGGCTTATGCTATTAGAGCACTAAATATTATGAATCATACTTTCTAGTCAAATGTAGGAAAACTTTTCCCATACATTTTGACAACCATTCTTAGGACATCAAGGAGAGCTGCAAAGCACTGCCAAACTGTGACTCCTCCATCATAATGAAATCTCAACTGCAGAGTAACAGTCAACATTTCAAAAGGTAATAATCATGTACTACCTTAAAATTTAGGGGTGAAATGATGGCTCTAACTACAAAAGTGTGACATTTATTCATTCCTATTAATTATTTAGTTCAGTAAGATAAGCATCCCACTGCACAGTTGGGGAAACTGAGGCACAAAAAGGTTTGCTGGGATTTTTTAAAAAAAGATTTGTTTAATGTGAGGGAAGCCAAGATCATAACTACAATCAGAACTCTAAAGGCTAGACACTTATGGGGTAAAATGGATTCAAACTTTGTAACATTACATGTAACTCACCTGTCCTGTTTGTATCACATCTACCTTGGTCCAACCTCTTGCAAACTCTTTAAAATATGGACCTGGATGCCTCTTAGCATCTCTTTTTTCCTGACCAGGTGAAAAAGGCCAGCCAGTGCTTGTATTAAAAAAAAAAAAGAATACTACATATTGCAATTAGCAAGGTTCAATTATGAAAATATTCCATAACTGAATTTCAACAAATCTCAAAAACATTCCACAAAATTCTGTAAGAATTCTTGGGAAGGTATAGTACTTGGCATTCCTCTCTAACACAGAAATTCTTTGCATTACTGTTGAAGATCTGAAATTAAGTGTATATGCTCTCATAATTGGTAATATCACAGTTTTACTAAGCTAATAAATAAAACTGAAAGGACACCCATGTTCCTAGATAACACCAAAACATTTACCTAGGATTATTAAAGAAATCATAGCACTTTGGTACCCTTTTCAGAAAAACCCTAAAATGTACAAAGGTAAACATAAGTATGTCGTATTTTATATTGTACTGAGTAATAGTAAACCAGTAAGGCATAACCACTATGACTTCTTGACCAACTTCATATCCTGAAACAACATATCTGCCCTCGCGAGCTACCATTCCAATTCTACAGGGTATTCTCCAGTGAGACAAGCTGTACAATGACCATTCTTTTCAAAACATTTCAGGCCATTTCCATTTTCTTGAATGATAATATCCTGCTTTTCTATTTTCTGTTTTTTAAACTTTATTCTTTCTTGTACAGATGAAACCAGTCCTTCTACTGACAGATACACAACACTGTTTGCTCCTATAAGGGAAGAGAAGGAAAAATAAAAAGGTTATGAGACTCCTTTAGAGAGTAGGAAGTGCCTCAACAGAGAATAGTTCCAAAAAGAAAATCTTAAGCCAGGATAAAATTTTCTCTTTTGGCTTTTCTTTAAAAAGAAAAATTAAAAACAAAAATTAGGGCCTTTTTAAAAAATTTTAATTGGTTAGGGGACAACAATTTAAAATAGCAGTGGAAGCTTCTAATCTAGGATGGACTTAGAAAACTTCCAAGTAATTTTCTTCATTAAGAAAATAGATTTTGAAATCAGGAATACTGGGGTTCAAAATTAAGCTCAAGCTCACTTCTCTTTTCTAAATGTATTTTTTCATCTGTAAATGGGGAAAACACTGCATAAGTGTAGGGTTTTTTATGACATTATTATGATAATACAGATAAAGCGTGTTAGTTCCTGGCAATAGTGAGTGCTCACAATATGCTAACCATCAGAGTAACATTCAAAATGTTAACAGGTAAGGCATAGGTATGACTAGGCAAAATAAATGCCAGCCATAAACAAGCAGTGCACACTGGCTGAATATCTATGTGAGACCTTACCTGATTCTGAAAGGATGCAGTCTTATCCAGAATAACATGGATCTCCAAGTCTTCTGGTAAGCCTACATAAGCTTTTTACTTTTTGATTTATATTCACATTCAAATTATTCTACTGGGATCTGTGGTAGAATTGTTTCTGTTTTTCTTGGCATCTGACCTTTGGGAGACTTTCAGTAATGTACTTGCAGTTCCCTCTACCTGGAAAGCCTCATTTCCCCAACCTAACCTAAGTTCAAGAGCCACCATTTCCTGGAAGTCTTTCTTCTTCCTTTGATCTCACCTTAGTCTTGCTCTCCAACACAGCTGTTGTCTACGTATGTTGCGTGGTGTCTACACATGCCAGGCACTCTTATTATTTAGAATAGTGTTCAAGATCTGGACAACATATACGATATGTACTTTTAAAAAATACTGAACACTACATAATTACAGACTTCGGATTTTTTCTGTTAATAAAGGATTAAAGACAAAATTTAAAGAAAATTTAATACCTACCTAAATATTCTGCGAGATGAACAAATTCCGGTTTATTGGCAATAAGCTCTTCTTTTGTGGGAATGTTTATTCCCATGAAGCATGGAAATCTAATTGGTGGTGAAGCTACTCGAATGTGTACCTTGGAAAGAAATAATTTCACACATTAATTATTTGAGATTAATTGTAACAATAACTATGCAAAATTCTCTTTCATTGGTCAAATGCAATGTAAAATTGTTTAAAGAATATTTAATAACTTATGGATAATGAAGCAAACTACAGAATTTGTTCCACTAAATAACAGACTAAAAAGAATACTAAAAAATCACCTGATATACATATAGAACTCCAGTGTTCAGTCAGAACTACTTATAGAATTCATTACCAAAGAATCTTACTTGAGCAGCTTTCCTCTAGACTCCAAAGTATCGTGGACGAAAATTTCAAAATGTCAGCCACTTGTGAAAGGTTCTTTTATATAGAGCTGTCCACTGCTTCTGTTACCTATTAATGAGGAATTTTCTTCCTTCCAATCTCCTACTTCTCATTTAAAGACTTTACTTCCCTAGGGCCATCTTCATTTTCTTTTGTTACACATGAATGCGCTTTTGTTACTTCTTATAAAAGCCTTTAAGATGAAAACTATGATCCAACAGGTTATAACAAAAAACCTCAGTATTATGAAAGAGCTATTTGTCATATTATTATTTTCTGTCCTTTGTCAGGTATATTTACATGGCTGTAATGGCAAAGAGGAGTTCCTGGGTGGCACAGATGGTTGAATGTTTGACTACTAACCAAAAGGTTGGTAGTTTGAGCCCACCCAGATGTGCCTCAGAAGAAAGGCCTGGTGATCTGCTTCAAAAAGGTTATAGCCTTGAAAACCCTACGGAGAGGTTCTACTCTGCAACACATGGGGGGGGGTCGCCATGAGTCGGTATCAACTTGATAGCAACTGGTTTGATTGTTTTTTTGGAAACAGTAAAAAGTGTACACATTTACTTTTTACCTTTTATAACAGCAAAGATTTTCCCACAATAAACAGTCTTCTCAATTATAGTTTTTAATGGCTGCATCATCTTTCATCATACTGATGTATCAATTTACTATTTTCCTACTGGTGGATATTTAAGCCATTTCCAGGTTTTTTGCATTTTGTCTTTTATTATTGTAATAAATATTGAATTTACTTTATAACTCTTTATTACATGATTTCCACAGAATAAATTCCAAACAGTAAGATTATCATAATCATAAAGAGGCTGGAAAATCATAATTATAATTATCTTTGAAACTTTCTACATATACTTTTTCATTCTGCTTTCCATTCCACTTTCTCCTACAATAGATTTTTACATTTCCTCAATTATTAGTTGCAAATGGCATCTCATTTCTGTTTCTGCAACCTGAATTACTGAAATATTTAGAATCAGAATAAGTTTTGAAATTTTAAAATATAACTTACTGTGTCAAATTTATTATCCTGGGATTGCTTTTATGTCTTCAAATAAAGTAATCAATAATCTACAGATTTATGTATTCTATTTTGTGGTTTTTGTTAGTCTCTTAATTAATTTTATATATTTTTTAAGCTTTTATATTTAGTTTTTAAATCTACTAACGATTAAATTTAGCATATAGTATAAGGGTGGCTATTACATATTTTTCAAATTACTACAGCTACTCCTAAACTAAGTTGATTGGAAAAATGTTAATTTGTTACACTGAACTATCCATTTTGATTCACTGTACTGAATTACAATTTTTATGACAATATCACATTGTTAATTATTGGCGCTTCAGGGTATCTCTTAATATTACTTACCTCTTTTGCACCAGATTCTTTGAGCAATTTTATTATGGGCGAGATAGTATTCCCTCTCACAATTGAATCATCTACAAGAACAATTCTTTTGCCTTTAAAGTTGTCTGACAATACTCCAAATTTTTTTGCAACACCAAGTTGTCTTAACCTCATGTTTGGCTGAATGAAGGTTCTTCCTACGTATCGATTTTTACATAGCACCTCCACATATGGAAGTCCACACTGATGGAGAAAAAAGAAAAGGACAATGAGCAGCAATATACAGAATACTCTAGGCTCCTATTTACTGTAGGTCATACTGCCACCATAGTATGTATGTAGAATTTCAAAATGTTCTTATTCTAAACTCTCCATCACCAGATTACAATTTTCTTTCACTATTTAAACTGTGGAGAAAAAAGGCAAAAGGAAAAATCATTAAAATATACTCGGTGAGTAAACCAACTCATTTTGCTAGAATTTATAATGCTTCTCTTAAACAAACATCACTATTTTAGAAGAGCACAAAACATATGAAGACATGGCAAAAAATACACCACCATCAGAAGATTTCACATATTTAAAAATTATCAGCTACAAGAAATTAATTAAAACCAGTACGTGAAGGAGATGCTTTTTTGAGGACCAGGCAGTAATTTATTCATTTCTCAAAGTATTATCTATCTAAAATGTATACATGTTATTTTCTTTTACAAGCTAATAAACTAAACTACCCAAGTTAGTGAATGTTGTGTATTATACTCCAGGATCAAGCTACTGGTTATGAAAAAAGAAATTAAGCACAGTACTAAGAACACAATTTTAAAAACAAACATAAGCAGCTTTACTACTCACACTCAGTAGGGAAAAAATATGCCAGTGGCTTGTGAGGGTACTTTAAGAAATAGATTTGAATAAGTAAATATTACCACTAAATTCTAGATATATTCACAATGTTGTCTTTTTAAAGAGTAGGAGGCTAAACTCCAAGTCTTTGAGTGGGCCTTTTTGTGGTTTTTATTAAAATAGTGACATTGAATGAAAAGGCTGGAAAACAAATAACTCCTGTAAACAAATCAAAATTAACCCTCAAACCTTCCTTTCTCCTTACAATAAATTGATAAATTTTCTTTATAGGCAAGGATTTCTCATTTCACTGAAGAGAGCAATTCACTGATCATGTTAATTAAGAGAACATACCTTTTTTGCATAACCAAGAGCAGCGGGCGTGGCAGATTCCGGAACAGTGCTGACCAAATCTGCATCCACAGGCGCTTCAATTGCCAGCTGCTGACCACAGCGATATCTCACTGTGTAAACCATTTGACCTGGTATGTGTAGAAAAGGAAATAGATTAGTTTTACTTAGTATAATACTGCTATTCTAAAAGCTAGTTTGACTAGAACCCTACAGTTGAAAATAAATAGGAACTGGGGAATTTAGTTTTTTTAATCTGACTTTAATATACATAAAAACCCTAATCCATACCCCTAAAAGAAAACAAAAGTCAAGAGATGAATGAAAGAAAAAAAATAGTGACATTGTAACTTCAGTCCCATATCCATAACATATAATTATGTGCTTTCGGAGTGCCAGGTAAACCTTTGGGCCAAGAACAGCCGTGTTTCAATGAGATAAATAAGTTATCTCAACAATGTTGTTGTTGTTATTGTTAGGTGCCATTGAGTCGATTCCAACTCACAGTGACCCTATGTACAACAGAACGAAACACTGCCCGGTCGAGTGTCATCCTCATAATTGTTATGCTTGAGCCCATTGCTGTAGCCACTGTGTCAGTCCATCTCGTTGAGGGTCCTCCTCTTTTTCACTGACCCTGTACTTTACCAAGCATGATGTTCTTCTCCAGGGACTGGTCCCTCCTGATAACATGTCAAAAGTAAGTAGTGAGACAAAGTCTCGCCATCCGTGCTTCTGAGAAGCATTCTGGCTGTACTTTCAAGACAGATTTGTTCATTCTTTTGGCAGTCCATGGTATATTCAATACTTGGCATCAATTCTTCTTTGGTCTTCTTATTCATTGTTCAGCTTTCACATGCATATGAGGCAACTGAAAACACTACGGCTTGGGTCAGGTGCACCTTAATCTTCAAAGTGACATCTTTGCTTTTTAGCACTTTAAAGAAGTCTTTTGCAGCAGATTTGCTCAGTGCAATATGGCATTTGATTTCCTGCCTCTTGCCTCCGTGGGTGTTGACTGTGGATCTAAGTAAAATGAAATCTTTTGACAGCTTCAGTATTTTCTCTGTTTATCATGATGTTGCTTATTGGTCCAGTTGAGGATTTTTGTTTTCAACAAATATCAACTATAGTCAAAGAAAAGAAATTTTCCTTACCTTCAAATATACTATCTGGTCTCGCAAAATAAACATATTCAAAGATACAAAAAGCCACTGGATTCCCTCCAGACCTTGATATAATATCAAGTGTTTGGACATTGTGTCTGGATATTTTCACAATTTCTCCAGGCAAGACTTCACGGTGATATCTTGGAAAACAATGTTAAAGGAAGAAGACTTTTAATAAACCAGTCCTTAAGGCTGATAGTAACAACTATTATAAAACATATAGAATCCCTTCCCTTATAGAGAGAAAATGGTCTAGTTTAATATAAAATCTAGAGATGGCCTTTTTCTTAAAAAAAACAGCAATATGCCTCCAGCAGTAATTTCTGTAAATCTTTTTCTTATCCATAAATTCCAATTTACAATTTTTAAAAATAAAGGGCTTAAGTTTTACTGATTTTGAAAGAATAAAGGCTAACGGGAACACTTTTATTTTATTTTATTTTTGTACTTCAAGTGAAAGTTTACAATTCAAGTTAGTCTCTCATACAGAAATTTATACATACATTGTTATGTGACCCTAACTGCTCTCCCTATACTGTGACAGCACATTCCTCCTTTCCACCCCTGATTTCCCATGTCCATGCAACCAGCTCCTGACCCTCTCTGCCTTCTTATCTCACCTCCAGACAGGAGCTGCCCATTTAGTCTCATGTATCTATCTACTTGAGCTAAGAAGTACATTCTTCATGAATATCTTTTTTTTTATTATTTTATTTTAATCCTGGCTTAAGTTTTTCTATTGTAACTATTCCTTGTTGAGGAGATCTTTCCTTTCTAAAATGTTTCATTATTTTTAAAGAAAGATTCCAATTTCAAAATTTGATGGTATTACTGGACATTAAAGTTAAAATCATTGCAACTGCAGAACACAATGTACCTAAGAAACAGCATTTATAAATATGTTCTCTTGCTAACATCAGAAAAAAACTTTCATGTAGAAATCAAAAGAAAAATTGCTATCAATGTGGAAAAAGCTAATATGCTAAATGTAAAACTTACATTGCACCAATAGATAAAAAGCTACAAGATTCTGAAGACACCACCCATCCTTCCGTTTCTGAGGGGTTTTTCCCTGTAAATCACAGGACAATCAATTCAGTTAATGTATTTAAGAAATTTTAAAAGAGGCTATCTATTTCAAGCGAACTCTTTAAACAGCAAACAGATGAAAAACTCGTAGAACATCCATTTCTATGACTTTAAGAGCATGTGGATTTTCATTTGGCTTGAGTCAAAGATAAAGTAAATAATCTCCCAACATTCCTTCTAACATTATGATTCCATGGCTTGAATAAGTCATCTGACAAGTCAAAACCAAAATCACTAAAATCATACTATAGAAATGAAACACCTGGGCAAAGGATGCAAAAGAAGCAATTCAGGCAAGAAAAAATAGGAATGTCCAATAACTACATACAAAGCACCTCATCCTCAGAAATACTCATAAAAATGTACTTTTTATCTATCCTCTCCTCACCCATAAGCTTTTTATAGCTAAAGATTTCAGGGTGTGCTAGCAGTACAATGACTCTGAAAAGCATTTTGAAGTTACATTCCGTCTGAAGTTCATTACCTTTTCCATTTATATCAGATACAGGAATAAGACGACCAATGCATAGAGGACGATTTCCATAAGGATCTCGTACCGCATAAATAACATCTCTGTGCATGATAAGCAGGGAGTATGCTGTGGGAGCCTCCTTCATTAAGTTTTTAATCCTGAAATTAATTAAATAATTGAATGAATAACTTCAGTTATAAACACATGCAAGGCTAAGCTCTCATTACTAGAGCTGCAAGTTTAGTCCAGTTTTACAATTACCTTGCTACCCAGTCTGGGGTGTCATCTCGCTCCTGAGGAGGGGTATACGCCAATAACTGGGTAATCATTTCACTATCAGAACTTGTTGATAGACCAACACCATGACGCAGAAGCTATTTAGAAGGAGAAAAAGATTAATCATTAGAGGGGAAACTCCACCCCACCCTTTACCCAATAGCCCATCATAATAGAAAGAAATCAGGCCTTCTGTTGGTACTCAGTTATGAAAATCCTGCATCTCACTAAGGTTAAGTATATGCTAATAACTGAGAATCACTGCCGGAGGCAATGGAAAGTCTCTGAAAGTTTTCAAACAGAAAAAAAAAAAAGGTGCTTTAGAAGATATATAGAAAAGCTTTTGAAAAGTCAGTTTGAAGGATGGAGACCTACAATGGGGGTGAGGATAAAGGAGCTATGATGGTGTGGATTATGGTTCTAACTTTTTCTACCCTCAACAACCCTGACAAATAAGATAGATTTCTATAAGTAGAGTGGTGCGCTACGGTGGTGACTCTCAAACTGGGTTTGGTGGTGGGAGTGATGGTGCCTACCCATCCTCACTGATTATTTCTGATAGAGACAGAAAAAAGAAAATGACTGTATTGACTAATTAAATGTAGAAGTAGTAATAAATATTTGTTGAATGTACTCTATGATGGATACGAGGTTCTGAACAAGACTGACTGGCACAAGGGCATCACCACTGACATGCACAGTCTAATTAAACTGACTACAGAATGCAACAGAAAATTTTCAGTAGGCAAAGCAGAGGTAAATTCTAGCATCTGGATAAGGGATGATGTCTAGAAATAATGAGCAAGATACTGATTGGAGTTGAACTCTTGGTGGTTATCTGGAAGTGGAGGTTTTATCTTTTTTTAGTAATTTTTATTTCATATTTATATTTTTGGAACTATCTAAATTTTTAAATGAACCACAACATTTTTTCACTTGGGGGAAGAAAAGAATATATCTTCATTATAATGCCATAACCTAAGAAGGCATGACAAAGCCCTGGGAAATACCTAAAGCTAGAATCTGAAACAGAAGGACAATGAGTGGTACAGAAGCCTGGGTTCTAGATATTTTCCACCCACCAGTTCATCATCATTTAACTTCTGTACCTATCCTAGAATTTAAGGGGACAGCAGTGTGGGGGTGTATGTAATCATCCTATTACTAAATACCAACCTGGTTCTGAGGTTACCAAACCAAGATTATTAGAATCTAATGAACTGAAGAAATTTGACATCAATTAATGAACCGCAAGAACGGATAAATAAGAAACCACTAGGAATATAAAAAAATACCAAGTAGTCAGGAAAAAAAAAAAAAGGAAGATGAAATGATAAAGGCATAGGCTCAAAATTGAAACCACTAACATAGAAAGCTCCCAATAAAATGCTGTCAACAAAAGAGCCCCTTTCCCAGGCTATGTTTAGTTTTCTGTTGTTTCCAAAACATTTTTTTCTCATACTTGTCATCTTCAAGGTTATACTCCATTTCTTCTTATGCTTTGAGCATGGGGACAAATTTAAAGGGACAGCAACTCTAATTTCTCTGTGCTTCTAATATCAACCATAAATCTTTTCCAAATCTCTACTCTAAAGAATCAACTTGTGAGCATGAGAAAATGCAGATTCTCAGACACATTCCTCCCACCTTATCCCCCACACACAGAGACTCTGGGGTGACATCTTGGAATCTGTAATTATAACAAGTACTCCAGGTAATTCTGATGCAACTGTTCTTTGCAGTTAGACAACAGGTGGCAATAGTTATAAAATGTTCTTGAACAAGATCCTCATTAACTATCACAATCATGAAAAAAGCATTTCAAAAAACTTACCTTTTTCCTTAATCGGGTAGAATTTACTAATTCGCCATTATGGGCCACTGCTATTTTCCCATGAAGTGTTTCAACAACAAACGGCTGACAATTTTCTAATTCACAGTTTCCTGTAGTGGCATACCTCGTGTGTCCAATTCCAAGATTTGAAATATATAATTTCTTCAAACTGTCTTCAGTAAAGACATGATTTACAAGACCCATTCCCTTACAAAGTCGAAGTAAAAGCACATTTTAGAAAAAAACAGAGACTAAGTAATAAAAGCCAGCCCTTTGCTTAGGCAGTCCTAAATTAGACAAAGCAGTTCACTTAATTTCTCTGTACCTCATAATCTTAAAAAGGCTAGTCTAATCATGAGAACTGTGAAGCACTTAGATTTTATAAACATTTAAGAACAGATGTTCTAAGCATAAAGTTTATAAAATATAAACTAAAATAATTTGCACTTTTAAAAATCAAAGCATCTGGAAGTATTTAAATAAATTACCTGTTTGAGTAAGTCAGTTCTAGACAGTAAACTATCACTGGGAAAGAAATCCATTCTAACTTGACCAATGTGAGAATATAAAGTTGGAAATGGCTGATCAAAAAAACCATTACTTCTAATTGCAAATTATTTATTCAAACCCCTCCCCCACCTCCATATACTAGTTATCATCTAGCTATTATTATCTTTATAATCAATTTTCTTAAATGCTCAAATATACCTTGTGTGTTTTGAATATTGGTACTGAAAGTCCATCACTGGTCACAATACCAGCACTCTCCTGGCCTCTGTGAATATAAAAAAGTGCCAACTGTTAAATCTGTCCAACTGATAAGCTTGATTAAATATACCTTTCTCGACTTGATTAAACATAACTTTCTCAACAAGCATCCATGAACTTAGCCTGACAACATATTCAGTGCTACCAGTACTAGTACCACTTCTACTGATGATGATAATGATGATTAGCAATAACAGCAGATGATCTTGTCCTACTGAGCTATTGGTATAGTTACAACTATATGCCAGGCAGAAACCCTGGTGGCTTAGTGGTTAAGGGCTACAGCTGCTAACCAAAAGGTCGCAGTTTGAATCCACCAGGCACTCCCTGGAAGCCCTATGGGGCGGTTCTACTCTGTCCTATAGGGTTGCTATGAGTCGGAACTGACTTGATGACAATGGGTTTGGTTTTTTTTTTTGGTTATATGCCCAGCACTGTCCTCAGTACTTCACATGAATGATCTAATTTGGGTTTTGTACTATTATTACTATCCCCATTTTACAGATAATGACACTAAAGGAATGGAAGTAACTTAAGTAACTTACCCAATGTCACACAGAGAGCAGGTGGCATGGCCAGGATTACAACCCAGACAATATGACTCCATATGACCTCTAAATAAGGTTTCAACAGGATGACTATGTGCATATAAATGAAAATCTCCAAATATAAAAGCAGGTGAAATGCTCAGTTCTGGCTACTAGGAATTAGGAACAAAATTTATTTTTGCTTTTCTCAAAACTTCTCCAACAAATATCTATCACCTTTTGGTATCAGAAAAAAATAAATACTGCTTTTAAAAACTCTAAGTTGACTTGGTACCCATCCTATTTCCTATGCCTGTATCTTGTTTCCTGCATTAGTGTTTTAGGTGATGATCAGAGAAGAAAGATAAAGACATGCTGGAGGAAGGGTAACACACATGAGACAGAATCTGCACCACTGTGGAGTATAAACTCAAATTATAAAATAAGGGTGCCAAATGCTCAAAAATTTTTAATAGTTATGAACAAGTGCTATAAATTCTAGATGCTTATTGATAAATTTTTGTTCCAAATATCTATCAGGGTAGAAATGAAAATTAAACTCTACCAGATATGTAAATACATATTAATAATTGTTACTACATCGGTCTCAGTTATTTGGTAAAAACAATCTTTTTCAAAATTACATATTATTATTGCTTAAGCATTTCAATAATAAGAAAACTACAACATATTAAATATATTTGCAAAGTAACATTTTTTAAAAAATTAAATTACAAATGATTTTACTTTATCGATGCATTAAATACAATGCTAAAAATAGATATGCATAATAGTACACAATCTATGAGAGTAAATAAATTATGATGCACCAGGGCAGAGAGAATCTCTGCCAATCATTTCCAAAACAATTTTGAAAAATTGACAATCATTTAGTAAAACAGAGCAAATTGTATGAGAAAAGAAATACACAAAAAAATGGTTTTCTTTTCCCTTTTGTCTCAAGGGTAATTTTTCCCTAAAGCAGATAGGAATAAGGTTAGGAATTATTTAGGTCCAATCTGCTTTAATCACAAAGCCTGCTTATTTGGCAGTTTCTCAAGTTACTCCCCTCAGGCAGTTTGAAGCAGTTAAACAAGATCCCTTCAGCTCTTTGGAGCTTATTGACAACCAGCTGTCTGGTTTCCTAGGAAACAAAACCTTGGCTAGAAATAATGAGTCATTTCCAGGTCACTTTCAACATGGAGAGTGGAGCAGGAAAGCACTGGACTGAAGATGAGGTTAAAGCTTTGCTGAGTGTCTGGGCAGAAAAAAACATACGAAAACAACTTTATGGAACACTGAGAAATAAAGGAATATTTATTTACATTGCTAAAAGACTGCAAGCATTAGGCATATACAGAGATTGGAAGCAGTGCCGGGCAAAGTACAAAAATCTCAAATATGAATACAGAACAGTTAAATATGCCCACAACTCTGGAGACAGCTCTAAAACTATGAAGTTCTTCCATGATTTGGATGCGATCCTGCAGTATGACCCTGCCCCACAATTAACGGAGGAGGATGTGAACGGCAGGTGCCTGGCAACGCTGAGTCCAAGTACAGCCCCAGAGACCAAGGAAGGTAAAAGAAAAAGTACTATTCTTTTGTTTTTACCTAGTGAACTGTAAGGGTACAGAACTTTTAAATTTTAAGTCCATATGATAAAGACAGCCTGAAATACCAAGGTAGAGAAGAACAACTGACTTGCTATGCTATTTTGCACAGGGTAAAAATTAAAAAAAAAAAGACTACCATCACTTTTTAAATCTGTAAAATAGAGAAAACTCACATTAAAATGACATTAACTGCTAATGCCAACTGATCCTTAAACATGTCTGAAATGTTTTTGAAATACAGATTGGGGTTCCGAAAATATTTTAAGTTTTCATTTTAGAAGAGCTGCCAAAAAAAAAAAACACACCAAAATACAGCTTCCAAAAATACAGAATTTCCAGCTCCATTTTAATGTTCCCATTTTCCTGAATTTATAAATAAAAGACTAAAATACTAAGCACAGATAAACACTTATTACTCATTTGGAAAAAGCTACTTCATTTTAGTAATGAAGTAAAACAAAATTAATAAATGATTTAAAGATCAAAATAAGGTGCTTGACCTGCTGTGTTGTTAAACCCTACACTGTTTACAAAAAATTTGCTCCTGGTCTATGGAAGTGTACTCATCACCCAGCAAAGGGGGTAAATCAACAGCAGTAATGAGATTTCTCTCATAGCTGAGTCTTACAGATGCTGTTTTTAAGAGCAGAGATGGTTCAACTCAAATATCTGTAGCACCTACTGTCTGCGTGCACCATGTGCAAGGCACTGAGCTACATGCTCTCAGTAAAGCGTAACCTCAAGAAAGGAGGGAATCCATGAATAAACGTAACCACCCAAGGGAAAAATGGTAAATAAAGGTACCAAGTGAGAAGGAGGTTAATTGGACAGATTAGATTACACTTGGGTTAATTTGGGTTAGCTGAACTTCATGTTTAAAGCTCAACAGTAAATCATTTGGTAAAAAATCCACTCCATTTACACATTCCCTTTATACTTTTGATCACTAAATTCTGTATTTTGAGAAGCTTTGCAGTCGTTACCATGTTAAACAGCAATTACAATATTGTATTCAGTTAATCACCCTGGACCCTTCATTATTTAAATGCTTTAAATACTGATTGATTAGTGCTAAGTATATCACTCAGCTTCAGTGGTTGGTCTGATGAAGATGTGGGTGCTAATGCCCCCACTTCTTTAAGATCTTTTTCTGGTCCTTTCAGCCACCACCATGGGTTCCAAACTTCTCAGTTTCGCTCCTAAGCACAAGGCCCATGTTTACAACTCACTGTGTTTAAGGTACCTCAAACCCCCAATTCTAAAACCAAACTCTTTTTCTTTCCTCATAAAACTTGATTCTCCTATAAATTGCTTCCACCTGAGTATCACTGTACTTTTGGTCACTTAAATAGAAAGCTTGAAGACAGCCTTGACCTTTGATTGATCACTGAGTCCTTAAAAAAATCTACCTCTGACATGTTTCATAAATTTTCTCTCTGCTCCATTCTCATCATCCATAACTTCGTCTCTCACATGGAATATTAAGGCAGACTCTTAACTGGTCTCTCTGGTTTTCAGCCTCTTACCATTCATCTTCGATCATGCTACTAGTTGTTCTTTTTTTTTTAATTATAAAATTACAAGCACATTAACATTTAGTTTGCATTTTTAAAATATTGAAATTTTACCCAGGATTAATCATAATTCAGGATTAAATGTTATTCTTAATAGCTCCAAAATATTTAATTGGGGGTATATCCCAGAGTTTAGGTCTTTGTCCCCTCTTGTACAAATGATACTGCAATTCATACCTTTTGTCCAGATTTAACATTACTCTAGGATAGACTACCAGAAGTTCAATTACTGGGTCATGGAGTGTGTGCTTAACTTTGAAACATTGCTAAAATAACTGCTTTGCTAATTTAATAAATAAATAATGTAGTCTAGAGTGGTGCATGTTATCAGTAAGTTTTTATTTTGTACTTGTTTAATTACTAGTGATGTGAAACACTTTCTACATAGTTCTTCACTTTCACAAATTGACTATTCATGTCAACTGGGGTCTTAGAAATACACACAACCTCTTTTGCCTTATAATTTTCCCTGATTTTTATTTAACCTACAGAAATCATAAGTTTTTACTGTAATAGTTTCTTTTCTAAGGCATAGAAAACCCTCCTTTACCCACGTTTGATGCATTTATAAGGTCTTCTGGTTTTCCTATGGTGGAATCAGCAGAATTTTTATTGGTGTATGGTAAACTGAAGAAGTGAAGAAAATTAATGTGCCTTTCCCACTGTTGGCATCAACCTCATGGAAGTGGTAAGGACAGAGGATCTGGTCCCCTCTGTTAGGCAGCAGGTAGCCTGAAGCTTGGCAAAGGATCCAAATACACCTCTGACCACTACAACTCTAGAGTCTCCAGAGGCTCCATGTCCCGGTCACTGTAATTACCCTGAAACTCAGAATACCTTTGGCTTACTGCTGCCAAAACATTTCTTTGATGACCAAGTTTCCACTCCATTTCCCTCCTCTTACTTTATACAAATACATAAGTAGTAATAATTTAAGAGTTTGGGTTAAAATCTCCAGGGCATAGGGAGATTCTGGGATTCACACGTGGAATGATCAATTTAAAAAAAAAATTCCTTGAAAGGGTTGGGCAAAGAGCTCTTCTTTACCCCCACATGCATGTTCAGCTCCAGGTTCCTTTCCATGAATATAAAACTAGGTCCTAAACCAGGTAACAGAATAGCAAACCCTACTTTTCCTTATTGTTCTCATAATCAAACTCAGGTGTTAAATGACCTGGGTGTATCAGTATCTTCCTCACTTCTGTCTAAAGAGAATTCTTATGTAACTTCAGATTTTTATTTTCCCAAAGAAAACACATCCATGTTCCCAAATGTCTCAGTCATCTAGTG